TCCATTGTTGATTTTGAGATTAACTTTTTTGTATTTTTTTTGTTTTCGTTGAAGGATATCTAGACAAAGAGTTGTTGCAACCTACTGAAATATAATCAATGGCAACTAAGAAAATTTCATTATTTTTGTTAATGGTCTTTACTTTCGTCATAATACCCATGATTTCACCCTCAGGTACTTATTTTTTTATTTGAAGTTATATTTTTTAAATGGCTTTAAAACATATTTTCAATAAATACTCTAAGATCAAACAATTTTTAACTTGTTGAATCAGAATCATTAGACGCTATAATTTTGTTTTTCAATTTAACTATTAATATTTTGAATTGGTTTTTCTAGAAACAAAAATATTGCGCTAACTTTAATGAGTTAAACAGAAAACGGATTATGTCATCCACAAGGGTCATGCATCAGCGAAATGGCATGCAACAAACGTTGTGCATCTATGGATTATAAATATGGGGGAATCTGTTTATTGCATAATTCCAGTTATTTTTGTTGTTGCAAGGTCCTATCTTCAATACTATTGAACTAGGTAAATACCCGCGTTATACGCGGGACAAAATGACTATCAAATAAATCAATGTATTTTTAATTAAAAACCCAATTGTAAGTTTTTTTTGTTTTTTGTTCAAGAAAGAAAACCAATTGTAGTTATTAAGAAAATTATTAAACAAAACAGAGAACCCGTTTTATTTTTGAATTTTGAGATCATTTTGTATATATATGTGTTCCAAACAACATATTTTTAACCTTTATTCAATAAAAAAAATCATACACATATAAGACCAATCATAATTAGTGATACATCAAATACTTTTTAAAAGTTAAGTATATTTATTTCCTTAAATTTGTGTCAAACTTTGTGATATATAACACTTAATCAATAAAATGCTTTGAATTTATATCATAATATTTAAAGATACGATTTATGACTCAAATATACAAAATGGAATATTATGTATATCTCCGTAAATAGAACAACAAAATCATTTAAGAGAAATTTGCTTAATTTGATTTTTAACCCAAAAAAAGAAATTAATATCGATTCAAATTTTTAATAAAGTTCACATAATTGAATTGAATCAAAATTTTAAAAACAATATTCATGTAATTGACACATCATCTATTCCAATTTATGTTGTTTCCTTTCTAGATCCAATTTATCAAATTTAGAAAACAATAAATTAGATTAGTTAATGATATTGTTTACACTTTTTTGAAAATCTCATTTATTGTTTGTTTTTCTATCCCTTTCGAATAGAACTGATATATCCTGGTTTTTATGGTTTTTGATATGGTTTTTATTATTCTATCTAATGGTTTTCATTCAGTTTTATGCCTTAAGTGGTAGTTTTAGTGTGTTTGTAGTGTTTAGAGTCTTTTACAGGTCAATTGGGAAAAAAAAGACAAGATAAGAGATATTTGATAGTTTTGAAACGTCATCTGTCAAGCAATCATTGGAGGCTTAAAATGCAATGGATTGATAGAAAATTGAGTCATCTAAAAGAAGATTGAAGTCATTTGGATCAACGGTCAGAAAGTTACACCAATTCTCGTGAATACCTGTCAATCTGGCTAAACTGACGAAAATAAAAGAAAATTTCAGTGTTTCCTAATTTGACTTGGTTTTGTCAGAGATTTCGACCTGCACGATTTTAGACCTATAAATACATGTTTTTAGCCACTTAGAAGATATTATTTTGTACATTATTCATACCTTTTGTTTCTAAGCTT